AATGACTTAGATTCATGAACATGAGATGTAATCGATGTATGATAATGAAGTATGGTCTTGATTGAACTTCCTCCCTATATCTAGGCTAGAAGCAGTATGTGATTGTTCTAGAAAGAATACAGCACATGGATAACCATACACATTTAAACTAAGACTTGTTATAAAAGGATTTTATCATACTCATGTTATTAACTATGATCCTTAACATACTCATGACATTGACTATGATCAAATTTTTTCACAAGTAGCTATGATTAGATCAATAAGGATATTGCTTACTATAAATTCATATTCTCAATATGAAATATAGAAAATAGATTTCAAGAAAGACCGCTTTTTTTTAAATAAACATCTACTAGAAGATATCTATATAGATTATCCTGGAGGTTTTCTTAATCCATGTTATCCTAAAAAAATGTGTAAAGCTTGAGATCCACCGGTGGATATAAAGTAAAGATGTCAATGTTGCAATCATCATTTTAATGTAAAACCACAAGGTATGTTTTTATATAAAATTAAATAGAACATATGTGTTTACTAAGAACTAGTGGGAGCATAGTGACATTCCTAACCTTGTATAAGTTAGACATATTGAATCATGAGAAATTACATTTTGACCATGTCAGGCCTTTTCACCTTGACTCGGAATGTGTTTCTCAAATGAAAGACTTAGGAAGAGCAAGATACATTATTGGAATGTAGATTCTATAAAGATAGATAAAATGAATGTTAAAAGATTTATATCTTTATGAAAATATGGACAATATCTTGAAAGGGATCACGACACAAAATTCCTTTCGCGGAATCTTGGTATTGTCACATGGCACTAAGTTTGAGAAAACCTCAAGAGGACCTTGCTTGTAGGTTTGAACTAGCTAAAACGATTTATATTCGATTTTCTTAGCAAATGAATCCATCATTTATGTCATATTATGCATAAGACCTGGTATATAAATATGCTATGAGCATATCATAATATATCAATTGAATACATGGTTAAAGTCACAAGATGACTATAGAAACATTCTAAGAGTACTTTGGAAAAACTAAGAGAATGTATATGAGACATATAGTTTAGAATAAAATATTCATGTAAAGAGCTACATAAGCATCTGATTTTAAACAAATGTATATAATTATGAATTACAATTAGATTATGACTTCATTGAGGGATGAAGAGTAAGTTTAGTTGGAATGAGGTCCAAGCAAAATGAAATGACACAATATACTACAAAATAAGAATACACTACTTTAGAAGTTGAAATCTAATATGATTGGATGAATGAGTTCGTTGAAAAGCTATGTTGATCTCTGCCATTCAAGGATCACATAGAAAGCTTTTTGACTTCGAGAGTATACTTAATTGAGCTAAGAGACTCTATATCATGAATGAACACCAATCATATACTCCAAGATATTTAACTATACCTAGAGTAAAGTCAAATATGGAGATGATAGTATTCACAAAATTCACACAAATTAAGTTTAGACGAACCCATTAACAAAATCCTTCTTCTGAGCTAAGTATGAATGGTCACACTTCAGCTATAAGACTTTATTATTCTAGAAATGGGATTTTGATTTCGATTTAGTATTTGGATATTGGAACATTGCGACAACAACTATTATATACTATTTTTGATATGCTGGGATATGATCATAACATCAGTAGTTGTTATGTTCTATATTAACATGTTTTATCCATTAATAATCTTATTATTCTAATATCTCATAGTCGGTTATAACTGTGGGAGCAATTATGAGGTAAGAATAATATGAATTGGATTGGTTGACTTTCATTGGATGAAGGTAGGCAATGGGTTGTATCCAAGTTTCACAGGTACTTGTCAGAGAACTAGTATTAAACCGACCCATATCAAGATGATCTCATGGATTTCTATCATGAATGATACTTGATTAAAAGGTACTATATTTGTATCTATAACACATGAGATACATAGTGGGACTTTAGTGTAGGGAGTACTGTGCTTAGATATGGTCAAACGCTGGACATTAATTGGGAAGTTATAAAAGCCATTTTCGGGTATGGTATGAACTATGCAAGAGGCTTATGTAGTTAATATGAGATTTGTTCCTCTTATGTGTTGAGAGTTAGACATCTAAGGCGCCTTACCAAAAGTTGAACACTAGATGAGATTGATTGTGATTCGTATCTCATATTCAACATGATGTCTGTGACAAAGGGATAACTAATAAACTTACCTTATATACCAATTGTAGATTTGAGCTTTTTTGGGAATTAGGCATTGATAGAATGGCACAAAGTCGTATGATGATGGGGGCAGTGAAATGTTGCTAGACGTTCTCCACTATTTATATCAGTCTATTATGAATCTTGCGCAAGGTGGAGATTGAGAGATCTAGTATGCTTAAGAATCATATTAAAGTTATATTTCTAATTAACATATGATTCTAATGGGTCATACTAACAATGACTTCATATAATTGATTATTTATTAGAAATTGATTTTAATAAATATTCAATAAACTCTTATAATTAAATTGAAAATTATTTATTTCTAGGAAATAATAATTTTCATTTGCAAGTAAGATTACAGAATTCATATGGTATGAATTAATAAGTCATGTACAAACTTTTGGACTAGTTGAATCCTTTTGTCTTTTAACTAAAGACAAAGTTTATATTTTATAAACTTAGAGTTTATAAAATTTAAACAATTCCTCTTCCTTTTTTAGGCATGGCTGAAAATTGACAAGAAGACAAGGGAATGGGTTTTTGACTTATTTAATCAAAAGTAATAAGAAGCATGGGACACATTTTAGCTAGTAGAAGCATGGGTGATTAATGGTTAAAGACCCATGTATATTGTGCATGCTATATAAATAAAAGAAAGGCTTTCATTTGTCTTGTTCTTCTTACATATAAACCATAACATGCATCTTATGATGCATGTTCTCTCACTTTTGATTATCTCTTGAAGATATTACATTCTTTTATACATTCTTGAAGTTTATACTTTGGTTATGAACTTCAATATTAAGATATTCAAAGTTTTCTTACAAGACTAGCATCTTAAATCAAGTTTACAACTTGTTGGTGTCTCTAAAGTTCATAATTCTTCATGAAATTCCAATCCTCCCAAGAGGATCTAGAGAACTACAAAGGTTGTCATTTCTTCATCTTCTTATTTGGTGCTTGTTTAAATCTTTGTACAAATTGCAAGATGTTCCTTGGTGGGTTTAAACTTGTTTTATGTTTTTCAAAATTATCAAGTCTCCTGTTGCTAAATATTATGTTTTGAAATTAGTTTTTGAATAAAAACCCAACACAAACTAGAGTTGATGATGCTTATCTTGATAAATTTTCAACACTAACATCCTCCATCAATTAGAAAATAAGGAAAAATCTTTTGGTAAGTGAAATTACAACCGAATGCAACAATAAAAGCATGGTCGGGAAAAATGCACCATTGAATAAAGGGCTAATGAGAATATTGATTGTTGAGGTTTTGGCTTCCATTAAGTCATGTAAGTTCAAATGATGTGTAAATTAAACCATATTTTTATTGCAAATATAACAGTTTGGCCATTGTCATCTTCTATGTTATGCAGGTAAACCCGCCAACTGGTTGGTGATTTGTATCACCAATATCATTTAAGTGTAATGAGACAAGTTTGTTGACCAGTGTAATCTTGATAAATATTGAACAAGTAATGGTGGTGCGAAGTACACACTTATTTGAGGTTATTTTAATTTAAAGTACACTGTTATTTAGGGGCAACCCCCTAAGCCACGGGGGTCCGGGGGCAGTGCCCCTGTGAGTGAGGTCCAAGGGGTGGAAACCCATGGCTGGGTTAATATTGCTTTAAGGAAAAAACATGAAAATCTGAAATTGTGTTTCAAACCTAATTTTTTACCTTATATTTAGACCCGGTTCTATGGCAGTTAACTCATGGTTATGAAATTGTTTTATGGTAGTTTTTGTCAGTTTTCAGACATTTGTTATTATTCTTGTTTTTTGTCATTTTGAATCCAATATGCAAGAAGATCATAACCTTATACCTTCTATGTTCTAAAAATAACTAAGTTTTATTTGGTTGAGATTTCGATTGTACCATCAAAATATTGCAATCTGAAAGTGCATCATGACTGTCAGTGAATCCAAGAAATCGAAGTGCCTAGATTTCTAACATCTACATCGCATGTCATGTACTATGTTAAGCATGTAAACCATTCTACATGTAAACCATTCTACATGGCATGCCACATAGGCAAACTCAATTCGAGCTTCATCCGCGTGGTGCTGACATGACATTCATATTGCTTTTTTTAACTAAATTAATTTTGTTTTATCAATAAAAGATGCTTTTATATAAAATCTATTTTATTATCAATGAATAGTAACCCCGAAAGTAAGACATCAAAGACATTTATGAAGATTTTGAAGCCATCTTATCATAATCTCGAAACTAAATAAAAAGGTATTGTAAACCATAGGAAGGTATTAATCTGTTCATCACATAAGGTTATCGATACTGGTGAAAAACATGTTCAACTTATTAGAAAATTTGGTTACCAACTTAACCTATTGAAGCCGTTGTTTTTATTTATCCTTGTCTTTCTCATCGGTAATAGATTCATTATAAAAGGAAACAAGAAAACAAAAATCACTAAACCCCTCCCCTATTTGTGAAAAATAGGAAAAGGGTGGATGGTGTTATAGTTACAAATCCATGAGAAACCTTGATCAAATATAAAATTAATCAACTTCTTCTTTTGACGAGGTAAATGAAATAGTAGCTCCTAACTTGATTACTTCTGATCCAGTTTCCAATGTTTCAAATTTAATAATGTTGGAATTGTAATTGTTTAAAAACGTAATATCTAATGTTATCTATGGAATGTAGCTCTTTAAAAAAAGTTTCAATAAGTTGGTTTCATTTGTAGTCACTATCTAGAAACATTTAGTAACAAAAATTATCCAAACATAAAAATCAATAAAAAATCGAGAAATGTTCTTCAGCCCCTAGCAATGTAACACATTGTTTAATATAATTTGTTACATTCTAGACATTATATTATAAGTTCAAACGCATGGATATGTGCATTGACATAATGAAACACCTCGTCCAATGCTAACACAGATCCCAACTCCGCTGGCTCTTTCTTGACATTTTGCAGCGCAACATTTTGCATAACACTCGAAAGAACAAGGCCCCAATGACATATTACAAGACCCAGTGGGATGCACTTGAGCTTTGGTGACGGATCCTTCCGTTCCATGCACCAACATGATGCCTGCGTTATGTTTCATTTCAACAATATTTACAAGTAAACTAAGTTGACAAGACTTGAAGTATATTGAAAATACAAAATATTTTTTTTGCAAAATTTCACTTAAAATAAAAGAAGTTTTAAATAATCATGTTTGCTCTTTGCTTGACCCTTATCCGGAAATACAAAAGGAAGAATAATTAACATTGTTGTACTATGTTATGTGATTTCTGTTAAATGGATGCACTAGTTTTCAACAAAATGCCAACTTAAGGAAATTTTATTGCTCAAAATATCCATTCCAATTTCAATCTCGACGATAAATATGGATATACTTTTAAAACTTTTATCAAATATTGTATGGATACTTGACAGTAACTATAGACGTGCGAATAAATTATCATAAATTGTTTCTTTTTCAACGAATCTTACATGAAAGAACACTATTTGACCAAATGCTTGATTAAGTTTATAAAACCAGTTTTTGTCACTTGTAGAACTAAATCATCAAATGATAAGTTTGATAATTTCCGTACAGACATATACATACATACCTTCTTTTTTTAATAGCTAACATACTTTAAAATATAAGAAATAATATACCTGATGTTACAAGGAAAACAAATATGACGTTAAATTTGATCAAAACGTTCGCCATATATACTGAAATACAAGGCAAATTGTTTGAGGATATATTATGTGAATCGCAATATAGATGCTTGATGAATACTCATATTTATAGTGTCGACTGCCTACAACATTTATAATGTAGGTGGAATGAGGGAAGTGATTCGCCATTAAATGTCACTTAATGGCATTATGAGGTTGATGATTCTGTATTGAATGGTGGTGTTAAAAGAATTTCTACTAATTTATTTTCTTTATAAAAAATTTTACGGATTCATTGTACTCTCAAAATTAATTACCAAAACCATGTAGATGTTATCTTTTGGTAAGTCTATGTTATATACAATTATTAACATGGGATAAATGTCATATGAATATATGATTATTTATATTATTTTTGCAATATAGTGTTTAGAAAAAACAAGTACTCCCGTTATTATTAACGTGTGTTAATTTTGTATTATTATATGTTATTAAAATAATAACGAAACTACTTGTTCTTAAAATTTTAAATACAAAAATAATGAAGTGAATTTTTTTCGAAAAGACTACATATGAATACAAAACTCACTGTTAAAACATTAAAGTACAAAAAAATGACCCTGGTTTTTAACATAAATATAAAAAGTAAATTACAAAAATGATGCTCGTTAGTTATCCAAAATCTCAAATTTCGTCAATTTCTAAATAAAACAAATCCCAAAAATTTGTTCCTGAAACGTGTTGTGATAGAGAACGTATCAAAAACCCTTATAAAGAATGATTAGTTCTCATTTCCAGCTGATATGGGATTAGGTGCAACCCACAGGGGGGCACCCAACCCTAAATTGCTCTCACCCGGGCACGCTTAACTGCAGAGTTTTTATGGGATCTGCTGCCCCGGCGACTTTTAAAATGTTATTATTTTTACGTCTAACTTTCTAAACTTCATATCAACTAATGATATGTTTATTAATTTATAATTTATCTATATCAATCATCTTTCATTTATTTACTTGTTAATTTAAGTACCCGATCGTAAATTTTAAGATGTTTTAAGTTGATAGCAAGGTTGTACAACTCGCTATTCTATACTCGTTCGGCTGACTGCCGAGTAGTGAGTACTCGAGACTACTCACATTTACTAATTCATGTAGAAATATTTTTAGAGAAATTATATATGTCAAAATCATAAGGTTATTGAAATATAAAATAAATTAGATACAATGGAATAAACAAAAACTAATATACGCACGATGATCTCACTTCGTGAATAATCACTGAAAATTTAAGATATATATGTAGTAACAGGGGTAGTAGTGGTGGTGGTGGTGACCGCATGATGGTGGTGGTGCTGTCTAAAATAAGTTATCTTTCAAATATTTAAAATAAATTAGGAGAGGTGGGGTGGGTGAGATTTTTTTAGCATTCTTATTTAAAATAATAAAAAATACAACTAGAAGAAAATAAAACCAATTAAACAAATAATATTTATTATAAATAAAAAAATAAATTTAAAGTAATAATCCAATAAAAAGAATTAACGCCATAAAAAAATTAATTAAATAAAATTAATAATCCAATAAAGTAATATTTATTAGTAATAAATATTATATGTTAAAATTATATTTATTAATATATAATAATCCGATAAAAATGAATTAATCCAATAAAAAAGAAATTAAAAATAAATAAATAAATAGATAAATAATAAAATAAAGTAACATTTATTAATATATATATATATATATATATATATATATATATATATATATATATATATATATACTAAAAATAATATTTTTTATTATATAATAATCAAATAAAAAATAATACAATAAGAAATAAATAAATAATTAATTAAATGAATTAATGAACAATAATTCAATAAAATAAAAAAGAAAAATTGCATAAATGGTCATTGTAATTTGGTAAAGAGATAAAACTGCAGAAATTGTCTCGAAGGAAAAACTGTCATTTTCAAAAAGTTACCGGTTAAGTTGTTAAACTTAACGAGCTAAGGGCCAAAACCACAAGAAAATCACCAAATAGGGACTTTTTTGCTAATAAACATTTTTTTGGACCTTACCCAAAGAAATTCACAAACCACATGGACCATTTTTGCAATTATATATATATATATATATATATATATATATATATATATATATATATATATATATATATATATATATATATTAAACAACCCAAAAACCATCGCTAAAATTTTCATTTTTAGAGGAAATAAAACACCTATTTTAACAAAATCACATCCAGAGCAACCCATTTGTTCATAATCCATTATTCAGAATTTAGAGTTAATAGGAAGACAATGCTGAATCTCAAATCGTAAATTTGTTGATATATATGTACAGACGCACCTTTGCAATCCGATAAGTACCTGCAAAATATTTAATCGACAACTGTAAACACAAAGCTTAGTGAGTTTCCAAAAATATCACATACATTACAACATAATAAACAACTACCGGTTATCATCAACCATGAGGACTTTCAGCGGTTCGAGTGGGCTAACAGCATGCACTATGGATTAATAGTACACCTCGTGGGTTATCAACAACCCTGGGGACTATCAGCAGTCCCATAGACTCACAATTGTCTAGGACTATCACGAGTTATCAACAAAATACGACACACCTATTAACAAGCATATAGTACCACACAAGCAAGTATGGTGAGAAGACTCACCTTGTAGTTAGCAACTAAAAGACAACAACTCTAACATGGTGAAGACTGGTACTAAAAGACACCTAAATAGGAATAAAGAATTACCCAGCTAGTCTACACCCTAAAACCTCTAAATTGACCTAAAGTCAACCTTGGTCAAAAGTCAACAGTCAAAGTAAATAGCCAGCTCTCGCATTGACTGACCCTCACGTCGTGACCAGTCCTTGGTCACGTCGTGAGAAAGTGAGTCAATCCCGATCACAAACTCAATCCCGATTCAACTCGATTATCCTCAAATCAACAGTCACATCGTGATAGAGCTTTTGTCACGTCATGAGAATTCTCAAACCAAACTTTCGCGACACCTAGCCTTCCCTCACAACGTGAAGACCAACCCTTCACGTCGTGAGAACCGATCTAACTTCCTAATTGCATTAAGTCCTTAATCGGTCTATCCATTCATTCATACTTTCCCAGTGGCTTTCCTACTCCAAATACAACATAAAAATCGGTGTTTTATGGACATGCATGTCTAATGCATTCCCATTTCACTCTAGGCCATAATCATAGAAGAAATGGACCCAAACTTGCACTAGAAATCCAAAATCATCAAAATGATATAGATCTGCAACATTCAACCTAAAAGGGACCCCAAGGATACAAAAAGTTACCAACTTTATGGAACCTTGTCACTCAAAACTTAAAAAACATGGAGAAAAAGGGAAAAGGAGCCTAAATATAACAACTTATAAGCATAAAGGTGGAAACTGGAACCATACCCAAGGTCTAAACGATAGTTAGAAGCTGAGATATTCTTATGCAAGGCTCCAAAACTGCATCTTGAAAGAGCTGCATACCAAAATCCACCAAGAACTCTAAAAATGGATGAGAGAGGAGAGGGGAGGCTCAAAGTGGTGAAAGGGAGGCTTGGGTTTCTCTAAAAAATCTTTAGGCATGAAGGAGGGTGGAAAAATACCCCCAAAACACGAAACCACCCTTTAAATACATAGAAAACCCTAAAATTCGTGTGCTTAGGCTGCCCAGTTCTCACCTCCTGACTGCATGCTTGTCACGCCGTGAGAATATGCTCTTCACGTCGTGAAAATATGCTTCTCACCTCGTGACAACGGGTTTTCACCCAATTCCATTCCAACTCCAAACAATTATAACTTCTTCGTTTCAACTCCGCTTTTGTGACACCAGTCAAATTTAGGTCAAACATAAACTGATCAATAATCATAATTAGGATGAACAAAGTGTTAGAGATTGTAACAAGGTTTCCAAAAATATAAAGAACACTAAAATCCGAGTTATAACGAAGAAGTTATGACCAATCGAAAATCCACGACAAAACCAGCAAAACACTGTTCAGTGTAAAAAGTGAATTTTCGATAAAAGGCTTTTTAGCCTTAACAATATAAATGAAAGTAGTAGAATATGTTAAACCGAGAACGTTCATAAAAAGAACGTAAAAATCTGACTTCGTATGAGGAAGTTGTGATTTTTCTAAGTTTCGGTTTAGCAGTAGACAGCTAAAAATTCGAAATATAAATCGATCGATATTTAGCCGACACAACTTAAACGAGAATCGAAGGTCTCGTCAAAAATAGTCAAACGGTAAAAAGACAGACGAAAACGTACGTCGGATGAAGAAGTTATGAATTTTTAACGGATTTCCTGTCCCGGTCTGTTAAAAATAATAATATTAAAAATAATGTAACACACAGAATCAGGAAGATCAGGAAAGGAAAGAAAAGCTCTAAGTCAAAGGAGTCAACTCGTCGAGTCCAAGGAGGAACTCGACGAGTCGGAGCGTGACCCGTGTCGTAGAGTAAGTGACCGACTCGGCGAGTCGGGGAGGCTGACTCGGCGAGTCTGGTATGGGTTGGGAAACCCTAGTTTCGGGACTTGGCACCCTATTTAAGCATCTCATTCTCATTTCTAGGGTTTCATTTACAGCCTCCACTGTCCAGAGCGAAACCCTAGTGTCCTCCATGAAAGTGTGAGCTATTATTGTGTATTCTTGAGTGATTTGAAGTCTAGAAGAAGAAGAAGGAGTTGGAAGAGTTAAGGAGTGATTGTAGATCCAGAAGGAGTCCCTCTTCCTCATCACTTTCTGGTAATCAAGCTCTTACGTTGATCTATGGTTTCTTAGATCTCTTCATGTCCCTTTTATGAGACTTTTGGGACCATTTCCAAGACCAACCCGAGTATTGAGCCTTTAAGGACGAATAGAGATTAGATCTGAGCATTTCTGAGCTCTAGAAGCTCTGAGTGAGAAGCTTTACTCAGCTATGGTTTCCTTTCATGGCTTAGACCTCCATTATTGCTTGGATTTGGTGTTCTAGCTTCATAACACCTTTCATGCACGTAAAGTTAGCAACTTTACGTGCAATGCTAGCATAAGGAGTCC